ATCATCCCGAGCTCTTCCCTTTGCTTGCGGAAGTACATGAAAGCAAAACTGAAACTGTAAGCACAAAGCTTAGTGAGCTCCCCCAGACTACCACACACCATACAATAACATATAAACACATATTAGGTCTTTCCCACTGCATCGGACCGAAGTCCGGAAACTGCATCAGATCGAACTCCGAAACTAACCAGCCTTGCCCTCTGCATCAGACTGAAGTCCGGAAACTGCATCGGACCAAAGTCCAAAACTGACTGGGACCTTGTCCCCTGCATCGGACCGAAGTCCGGAACTAACTGCATCGGATCGAAATCTAGAACTGACTGGGACCTTGTCCCCTGCATCGGACCGAAGTCCGGAAACTGTTTGAGCATAACATAGCATAGCATAAACATATCCCCTAGCGTAAACACATATACTGCATACTGCATCGGACCGAAGTTCGGAACACATAACGCAAAGACATGCTTGAATCACAAAGACATCAAGCACACTGAACTACTGCATCGGACCAAAGTCTGGAACTACTGCTAACTAGGCAGGCCGACATTGTGGCCGTAGACTTGTTCCTACTGGAAGGAAAACTCACCTCATAGTGCTGGTTGCTAAGATGCTAACTCTAAAAGTGGCTGACTGCTGCTCCAGAACTGACCGGCTACAAATCTAAAAAACAGTAGATCAGTTACTTGTAAATGCCCTCAGCGTAAAATAACTATTTTACCCATGGTCAAAGTCAACTCCTTAGTCAAAGTCAACTTCTAGTTGAGTGGACTCGCCAACTCACGGCGCAGACTCACCGAGTCCCTCCTTTACTAACTCCGACTTTAACTCACTGAGCCCCTTTCCCACTCACTGATTCACCCTGAACTCACAACTCAAAGGAATACGGGGACTCACGACTCGACTCGTCGAGTCCGAAGAGCAACTTGTCGAGTCCCATCGCAAATTCCATACAATCGAAATCTAATCCATTCCAGGGCCTCTAACTCATAGATCTGAGCCCTTAGGACCATCTGAACACGTAAAGTTGTTGAGTTTACGTGTAACTATGAAGGAATGAAGCCATTTCACTCAAACACTACTTTTCTCGGGAAAAACTCATCCGACTCACCGAGTTGTAGAACAACTCGTCGAGTCTAAGGCAATCTTCATCGGACTCGTCGAGTTTCTCATCCAACTCATTGAGTCCATGGCTATCTTCATATGACTCGTTGAGTCAAGCTTGCAACTCGCCGAGTCCATTCAGTCCCGTTTCCATACAGACCCCATTTGAGCCATGCAGTGGCTCCAAATCACAGATCCAAGCTTCTAGGGCGTGCTTATCACGTAAAGTTGCAAACTTTACGTGCATGCATGGCTTTAAAGGCTTCAAATGTCAAAACTAAGCTCTTAATGGGGGTTCTAAGCTCAAGAGGGACCTCAATCACGACCATAGCTGAAACTTTACATTACTAGAATGCAATGAGGGTCCAGATCTGAAGTATGACCCAAACATAAGGCTTAATCATAAAGGATTTGGGGACAAACAAGATCTACTAGATCAATAAACAAGATGGAGGCTTTATTACTAGAAAAGATGCCCACAACTGAGTGTGTTCTTTATCTACTTCCTCTTCCTTGAACTCTTCAATCTTCTACTTCTTCTACTTGCTCCAAAAGTTCCTTCACAAAGCAAAAATCACTCACACACTCAAAAAGGGGCTAGGGTTCGGTAAGAGATGCTCTGAGAGTGATGGAGGCGAGGTTGGGGTGTATAAGTGTGTTTAAATAGGGTGCAAACCCTTAAATTAGGGCTTCATCTAGACAGGCGGACTCGCCGAGTCCAGCGTATGGAGTCGCCGAGTTTCCAGCTTAACTCACATGATCAACCCGTCTTCTACTCGACGAGTCGGGCTACAGACTCGTCGAGTACCCCTCAAGAAATGAAAAACCTTAATTAAATCACATACCAGAAATGGAGCGTTACATTTATATTTCCTTATATTTCTGCATCTAATCATCTAACTATCTAACTCTAACTTTTATTATTGTTGAGCTTTATGATCATCAGAGTTAAACTTTAATTTGCTCAATATAAACTTGTTCTAACGTTTGTTTAAGTGTGTTACTTAAGTTTTTCTCTTAACAATTGGTATCAGAGCCAAAGTGGTCGTCTTTTGAAGCATAACTCTGATTTTCAAAAAGCCTTCTATACCACTAAAGCTCATTTCTTTTTAAAAAACAACAAAAATATATTTTCAAAACAAGGAAATATGGCAACATAAACAGATAGGACTTTTGTAAGCTTTGAGACTCTATAAAAAGGAGTTCTCTCTTTCTGATTTAATACACATCTACGTATCTTGAATCTCATATCTATTGAAATTCATAACTTGCACTCTCATCTACTTCTTACTATCTGAACTCTCTCAAACTAAATCTGAATTATAAATCTCTCCTTCGGAGCAAGTCAGTATTGACTTAATCACTAAGTTTGATCTCACTTACTAACTTGGTTTGATTGCATTCCTTGTTAAGAATCAACTTATGTGTATACTTGATATAATACTTACTGTCATTTATATTTCCTTATATTTCCGCATCTAATTATCTAACTATCTAACTCTAACTTTTATTATTGTTGAGCTTTATAATTCTCTGAGTTAAACTTTAATTTCCGCAATATAAACTTGTTCTAACATTTGTTCAAGTGTGTTCCTCAAGTTTTTCTCTCAACATATATAATGGTACCAAGAATAACAATGATCAACGATATCCCTCTTTGTTTTAGTATATGTTGGTAGCAGCAAGAATAACAAACACGATTGAGACATCATTTTATGATTACAAATGCATTCAAATTATTTATATGTTTCATTACTTGTGATTACTATTTATCTGTATTTTTTTTATCTCTATATTATCATGTATTCATTTATGATTACCTATGTATTTATATTTTTTTATATTTGTGAAACGATTTATTCATTTATGATTACAAGTATATCTTTTTATGTTTGTGTTGTATTAGTTTACATTAAAGGAAAAATAGTTAAATATTCCTTTGTAATTTTTTGTATTATTTATCTATGATGAAATGTATAATTTAATTATTTATGTAATGTGTTTTCTTCATTTGTTATTATGATTGTCCTCAAATTTTTATCTCTACATCATGTTGTGTTCATCTAAGATTACAATTGGATTTATACATGATTGCAAATATGTTTTATTTATGCATGATTACAAGTAATTAGATAAAATAATAATTTTTTTAGTTTTTATCAATTGTGGTTAGTAAAAATAAAAATATAAAACAAATAAGTGTTTTTTTTTAAATTGATATTAAATGATATTTTTATTAATTTATTAATTAAAAGGAAGATTTTAAGTATTTTTAATAATTGGGAAAAAAATTCCCATGATTTTCGGAATTAATTAATTACTTTCCACTTATCCATATTTAATTAAATTATTAAATACCTCTAATGCCTTTATAAAATAATTGACCTACAACTGTTCTCGCGTTCTTAACCTTTTAAATGTTTTCATTTGATATTATATATATATATATATATAACTGAACATAATTGAACGTTAACGAATAAAAGTTGAGAAAATTACAAAAATAGCTTAATCCCTTAATTACTTTGTGGAAAATAGTAAAAAAAACTCAAATTTCAAAAATAACCACCAAAATCACTGATGGACTCAGTCCATCTGCGATTTTACTTGTCCTTCTGCAAACGTACCAGACGCTAAAGCACATCCGTGCTTTAGCGACTTGTAAATTTGTGATTTTGCGTCCATTTGTAATTTTCCTTTTTCAGGGGTATAAAAATGTAATTTTTTTATTTCATTTTTCAAATTTTTTGTTGGAGAATTCATTTTATTAGAAAGGTTTTAAATAAATTATATAAAGAGATAACAACTAAAGTGATAAATTTTTGTAAAACTTTATATATAATAAGATTGTTTCATAGTCAAATCCTATCAATTTTATAGTCAAATTAAAAAAAAAAAAATGCAGGTGTGATGAGAGGAAATTGCAGATAAACTTAGTTCATTTGTGATTTTAATTAGAGATGGTGATATTTATATAGAAAAAAAAAAAAAAAAAAAAAAAAACTAAAAAAAACTAAAAAAAACCACCTGCAAACGTACAAGTCACTAAAGAATGGTTGTGCTTTAGCGAATTGTAAGTAAGTAGATGGAATGCTAAAATCACAAATATGTTTAATACATTTGCGATTTTCATGATTATATTTGTAATTTGAGTTATTTTTTACTATTTTGTATAAAGTAATTAAGGAATTATGCTATATTTATAATTTTTTCATAAAAATTTACAAACATAAATAAATGAACAAAACTATTGATCGTAATATCGTATTCGCTCACTAAAAATGATGTTGATGTTGGATTATAAACTAAATAAACTTACAAAATAAACTTCGACCCAAAATATTTACAAATGATTCATTTACAGCCAGCCCAAAAGACATTCTACCATCTTTGTGACCGAGTGATCCTAAATTTACTGTATACTCCAATATATCAATAATCGTTATATGCAATTACAAAGGTTTTAATAAACAACTTTTTCTTTTTATCAAAATGCTATATGAAAAATCTTTTTAATTACTTTACTTATAAATAATAAATTAATAATATACACTAACTCGAGCAGATGTCATAATAAACGTCATGATTATGAATTTAAAAGAGACATTCATCTTAAACAATTAAAAATCAACATATGCATACAGTTGGAGATAAAATAGAAAAGCAAAAGTCATATGGAGAATCCTTGGCCCCAGGAATAGTCTCGTTCCCACTTCAAACGCGTACCCCACCCCACCCACCCCCCCACCCCCACCCCCTCCCACCATCTTTAACCCGCGTATATAATTTTGCACACAACTTCCCTTGATACATTTTCGGTTCATCTCAACCACCCTCTCTCTCTCTCTCTCTCTCTCTCTCTCTCTCTGCTAAATCATCAAATCGTTCCGGCGGAAGGCATGCAGCCGAGCTCAGTGATCACGGTATCTCCAAGCTTCACCAGCCATTCTGCTAACAACCTTGCGGATATTGCCGCTAGGGTTGTTGAAGAATTTCGCAACGAAAATGGTGGTGATGAAGATGATGATATCTATAACTTTACTGCGGATGATGGTAATGAATTTTATATTCCTGTGAATGGAGATTTGGATGGTACTCGTACTGAAAAAATGAAGGAAAATGAGGAGGAATCAGACGAAGACGAAGAGGAAGAGTTTGAGTTTGCTGTTGTTTGTAAACAGTTTGATTCATCTTCTGTCTCGGCTGATGAGATCTTCTCCAACGGTGAGATCATACCACGATATCCGCTGTTTGATAGGAGTTTATTGTTAGACGATGTACCTGATTTTAATCAGGTTGCTGAAAAATCGGAGACTAATTCCCCTTCCAAGCCATCTCCGGTGGTACGGCTTCCTCTGAGGAAGCTTTTCAGCGAGGAGCGTGATTCCCCTTCGTGTTCATCGTCCGAGGCGGATGATCTCGACGGAATTACTCCGGGGACATACTGCATCTGGAAGCCCAAGGTAGAGTCTCCTGGAAGGTGTAAGAAGAGCAATTCGACTGGTAATACATCGAAACGGTGGAAGCTTCGAAACCTTCTCCACCGGAGCAACAGCGATCGGAATTTCTCCACCAGTAAAGATGCTTCTATGGTCGTTTTCAGTCCTTTAACAACAACAACGAAGAAGAAAACTGAAAAGGTAAAGAAGGTCGAGAATACGGCAAAAGTAGCTGTTGCCGAGGACGACGGTGAACCGGCACCGGTAACATATGAAAACAATTCTGCAATCAAAACCAGCAAATCAGGTAATCGTCTTCAATCGTACCTTCCTTATAAACAAGATCTGTTCGGTGCTTTTGCTAATGTAAACGGATTGGGCAGAAAACTACATCCTTTCTAAAGCGTGTGATTAGGTTTTGCAGTTTACGAAATTTATTCAGTACGATTAGCGTATAACTGTCTGTATATATACACGTATGTTCTTCACCAATTCAATATTGAGTGTTTTGTTAGTAGATTTAGTGAAAAGTCGTTGCCGGAAACATCGCCGGCGGCGGAGCAGATTGCTGGTGTTTTGTGCTGGGACCAGATATGGCTTTATTGAAAAGTTAAAGGGGGTAAAGTGAACAATATAAAAGTAAAAGGGAAGTGGGGATTACGGAGCATTGGAAAATCGTGTGGGGTAGTTGTGATCACACAATATTTGTGGGGGGTGGATATGTCTTTTTGTATGGGAAAATGAGTTTTGGAATGTGGATTGCTTTGATTGTTGCGGTAATCAATTTTTAATCATATATTTATCTATGAATAATAATTATCTTTATAAGCTTTTATTATACTATTACAAATTTTCAATTTTTATTTAATAATCAGACATCTCGTACGTGATATAAAATAAAGGAAAAATACTAATAAACCCAGTGTGTTATAGAATATGATCATATAACAAGATAAATTATAAAGTGAAGAAAGATATGAGAGTGGAGAGAACTTTTATTCCAATATTTGTGATGAAGTCATCAAGTGCCTAATACATATGGCTCACTATTTATACTATCCAAATAAGATGAAAGATGAGCTACAATATGAATGCACATTATGATTGTGTATTATTACATTCATAAAACACATTGAAATGGTTGTTACTAATGCTAAATGATGATGCAGAGTTATGGGAGAAATAGAGAATCCAATGGTCATTCACAAACTAATATTTCATAACACTCCCCCTTGAATGACGATTGTATCATGCCTCGTTAAAACCTTAATAGGTAAAACCTCATGGGAAAAACCATTTATTAAGGAAAAAGAGTACATGATTAATAATAGATATTTGGAACAATTGCCTCGTTAAAAACCTTGCTAAGAAAACCCAGTGGGAAAAACATAGCTAAGGAAAAGAGTATAATATGTTTCCAACTCCCCCTGATCATCACATTACTTGATTTCCTTAAAGCGTCGCATTCCAATATTTCGTACCATGTTTTCAAATTTGGATGTAGGGAGCGCTTTAGTGAACAAATCTGCCAAGTTGTTACTTGATTGAATTTTCTGGATGTTGATGCTACGATCTTTTTGAAGATCATGAGTAAAAAAAAAAAAAACTTTGGTGATATATGTTTGGTTCTGTCTCCTTTGATAAAACCTTCCTTGAATTGGGCTATACAAGCCGCATTATCTTCATATAGTATGGTTGGAGCTTCCCTGTTAGAAGTTAGACCACAACTCTCACGAATGTGATGAGTTAAATTTCTTAACCAAATACATTCACGGCTTGCCTCATGAATTGCTATAATCTCTGCATGGTTAGAAGAAGAAGCAACTAAAGTTTGTTTAACAGAACGCCAAGAGATTGCGGTACCTCCACAAGTGAATAAATAACCTGTTTGGGATCGAGCTTTGTGTGGATCAGACAAATATCCAGCATCTGCATGACCAATTAACTCCGCATTTGATGAATTTGAATAATATAAGCCCATATCCATTGTACCTCGAAGATATCGAACAATATGTTTGACTCCATTCCAATGTCTTCTTATTGGGCAAGAACTATATCTTGCTAACAAATTTACAGCAAAATATATATCAGGTCTCGTATTATTAGCAAGATACATTAGTGCACCAATAGCACTAAGATATGGTACTTCGGGACCAAGAAGTTTTTCATGTTTTTCACAAGGCCGAAACTGGTCCTTTTTGGCATCTAAATGCCTTACTACCATCGGGGTACTCAATGGATGTGAGTTATCCATATAAAACTTTTTAAGCATCTTTTCTAGATAACTAGATTGATGTACAAAAACTCCATTTTTGGTGTGCTCCATTTGAAGACCCAAACAAAATTTCGTTTTACCAAGATCTTTCATTTCAAAATTTTCTTTCAAACAAGAAGTGGCATTTTCCAATTCTCCAGAAGTTCCAATTATGTTCAAATCATCTACGTAAACAGCAATTATCACAAATTTTTGATCCGGATCTTTTTATGAATACACATGGGCTTAATGGGTCATTTTTATAGCCCTCTTTTAAAAGAAATGTACTTAAACAATTGAACCACATCCGGCCAGATTGTTTCAATCCATACAAAGATTTATTTAATTTTACCGAATATACTTCACGAGAATTAGGAGTTTGTGCTTCTGGCACCTTAAACCCTTCTGGGATTTTCATATAAATATCATTCTCAAGTGAACCATATAAATAGGCGGTAACTACATCCATCAGACGCATCTCCAATTTTTCATGTGTTGCCAGACTTATTAGATAACGGAATGTAATCGCATCAACCACAGGAGAGTATGTTTCTTCATAATCAATTCCGGGCCTTTGGGTAAAACCTTGTGCAACAAGTCTTGCTTTATATCTCACAACTTCATTCTTCTCATTTCTTTTGCGCACAAATACCCATTTGTATCCCACTGGTCTTACTCCGTTTGGTGTACGGACTACAGGTCCAAAAACTTTTCGTTGAGTAAGAGAATTAAGCTCTTTGTTTATTGCATCTTTCCATTTTGGCCAATCTTTTCTATTTCTACATTCATCTATAAATTTAGGTTCAACATCCTCATTTTCTTCCATAATCTCGCACGCAACATGATATGAAAAATTATCGTCGACGTCTATCTTATTTCGGTTCCATCTTATTCCTGTCATGACATAATTTATTGAGATCTCTTAATTTTCATAATTTTCAGGTACCTCAATTTCTTTTGTTATGTCATTGGGCTCTTCTGGAGCTTCATTAATCTTTTCAAAAGATTCTGTTTTCTCTTTTGGACCATCAATTATATTTGCTCCCTTTCGTTTTCGAGGATTTTTATCTTTGGAACCGGTTGGTCTTCCACGCTTCAGGCGTGCCTTTGATTCATTTGTAGTTGTATTTTTTCCTTCTGGGATATTAATTCTAATTGGAGCATTTACAGCTGGTAAATGAGACTTTGTTACTCTCTTAGGGTCAGTAAATGCATCTGGCAATTGATTTGCTATATTTTGTAAATGAATTATCTTTTTCACTTCAAGTTCACATTGACTTGAACGAGGATCTAACACTGAAAGTGATAATTCATTCCAAGAGATTTTATTCTCCAGCTTCTTTATTTCTCCCCATAATGTTGGAAAAACCGATTCATCAAAATGACAATCGTCAAATCTAGCTGTAAATAAATCTCCAGTTGATGGCTCTAAATATTTTACTATAGATGGAGATTCGTATCCAACATAAATTCCCATTCTTCTTTGAGGACCCATTTTTGTGCGGTGAGGTGGAGAAATGGGTACATAAATTGCACATCCGAACGTCCTTAGATGGGAAATATTTGGTACATGGCCGCAAACCAGTTGAATAGGGGTGAACTTATGATAACTAGTTGGCCTGATGCGTATAAGTGATGCCGCATGTAAAATTGCATGTCCCCATATCGATGTAGGAAGTTTAGAATGCATTAGTAATGGTCTTGCAATTAATTGAAGGAGTTTGATTAACGACTCAGCTAAACCATTTTGTGTATGAACATATGCAACAGGATGTTCAATAGTTATCCCAATCGACATGCAATAGTCATTAAAAGCTTGTGATGTAAATTCTCCAGCATTGTCAAGTCGAATTTTCTTAATTGGGTAATCAGGAAAATGTGCCCTTAGGCGGATTATTTGTGCTAGTAATCTTGTGAAAGCGAGATTACGGCTAGATAATAAGCACACATGTGACCATCTAGTTGACGCGTCAATTAAGACCATAAAATATCTAAATGGTCCACATGGTGGATGAATTGGTCCACATATATCCCCTTGAATTCTTTCTAAAAAACTAGGACTTTCATACCCAACTTTATTCAATGATGGACGGGAAATTAGTTTTCCTTGAGAACATGCAACACAAGACAATTCATTAGCTTGAAAAAATCTTCTGGTTTTTCAAGGAATGTCCACTTGAACTTTCAATTATTTTGCGCATCATAACTGATCCGGGATGGCCCAACCGGTCATGCCAAACTTTGTAGATGTTATCATACCTTTTATTTTCAATAGCATGAGATTCAATCATTCTAATATTTGTATAATACAATCCGGAGGACAATACGGGTAATTTTTCCAAAAGACTTTTCTTACCCGATATCATTTTCGTAATATTGAGATACTCTTCATCACCATCATTGGTTGTTTCAACATGATATCCGTTGGACCTAATATTCTTAAAACTTAATAAATTTCTTGGTGATTTTGATGAAAATAATGCATCTCCAATTATAATTATTGTCCCTTGTGGTAATATGATATTCGCTCTTCCGGACACTACCCGTTATTGTATTAACATTTGCTTCTCCAATTGATAAGTAAGCAAAATATTTTTTATTATTAAAAATGATATGTGTTGTTGCACTATCTGCAAGACATATATCTTCCTCATTTCTTTTGCGAATATCCATATTTCTCTTCAAAATAAAAATATATAATAAAATAATAAGAAATAAGATAAATAAAATCATATATTATTATTTTGAGAAGAATCATCGAGATCTCTTCTGATGAAACGACTATAACATAAAAATCATAAACGACATTAAACAAAACTACATATTATTCTTGATCATGACAATGACTTTAAACAAACATAATTCAAAAATAAAATGATACTAGAAAACCAACAATTTCATGATATGCCATATCCATCTCATTTTATGGGAAAAATTGGGTACTTCCATCACCATTCATAACACCGTTTGTCCCTTCCATGTTGGCAAGATAATCGGCGACATCCAAATGTCTCATTTCTAGTTGATCTTCGGAAAAATAATTTTGAATAAAATTTGTTTCCGCATTTTTTCCTTCTTTATATTTTAGAAAAGCTTGATAAAAATCAACAAAATGCTTTGGAGTGTGACATGTACGTGACCAATGACCGGTCATTCCACATCGGTGACAAACATTTTCAACTTTCTTCTTGCCTTGACCACTTTTATCATTAGGATGTGGGTTTTTGTTATTTTCCCACTTCTGGTGGTTACTTATATTATTATTATTATTGTTGGGACGATTATTATGACGTCCTCCACCACGTCCACGACCTCGACCACGACCACGACCACGACCACAACCACGGTTAGACCCACAACCGTTATAATTAGAT